GTACCGCGCTAGTCGAGTAATTAGAAGACCTCATTTATTGTCCTAGTAATGTCTAGCAACTCCCCTTGCCTAGCCAGCTAACTTCCCTCAGATCGGTCTCGGCCTACCTACGGTCCGGGGTCCCTTGTGCTCGCTTCTGTATCGGTCGGCTATCCCGCCGAGTCTTGTACCACTTATTGAATATATCTACTGCTCGTGCTCTGGAGTTTGAAGAACCTTGTCTAGGATTTCATCACACCACAGGAACGACAACAGGCCACCCTGAGAGCCGGTCGGCGATGACGAGAAAGGACTTTCCCGCCACAACGAAGAAATCCACAGAGACGGACTCAAAGGGCCTCGTAGGGTTGTCGTTGTTCATGAGGGGTTCCTGCTGCTGACTAGGCTGCAGCACCTGGCATGGCTCGCAGACTTGAACGGAACTTGCGATGTCGGAGTCGATGCCTGGCCAAAAAACAGCTTGTCTCGCCCGGCGCTTCGTAGCTTCCACACCCCTGTGGCTGTCGTGCAGGTGGGCTAGGGTGCGGCGGCGGAGGGCGGCAGGAACACAACTCTTGCTCCATACAAGACGAGGTCGCCATCAGCATAGAGGTCGTCCCGCATCTTCCAGTATGGGAGTAAAGAGCTGTGTAAGTCGTACCGGTTGGAGGGAAATCCCGAGGTCACGCAGTTCAGTAGACGGATGTACAAAGGGTCCGCTCTTGCCGCGGCTCGGAGTTCCTGAAGAGTCCTGTCGGCGTCCTGCGGTGGAGACTCTTCTGAGATGACGGCGTTCACGGTCACTACGGTCCTGAGGTGTGCAGCAGCATCAGCACATGCGATCTCGTCCTCTGGTGTGGGGTGGCTGACTGGGGCTCGTGACAAAGCATCAGGGATGCAGAGCAGCTTGCCAGCACGCCACACAGCTGTAAAGAGGTAGGGCGAGATCTTCTCCTTAAGGCGTTGGAGGCGGGGATTCTCGACTGCATCCAAGGAGTAGTGGTTCAGGATCGGGATGAGTGGCCAATGATCCGTCATGAGGTTGAAGTGTTGTAGGCCGATCAGATACAACCTACATTTGGACATAGCCCAGACGGCGGCTAATAGCTCCAGTTCGATGGTGGCGTAGCGAGTCTCGGCGTCAGTGAGAAACCGAGAGCCACACTGAACCAGACGAAGGCGTCCATTGCCGTGGTCCTGTAGCAGAGCGTATCCAATCCCGTAGAGGCGAGAGGCATCAGTCTGGAGGACAACTGGCAGGGCCGGGTCGAAGGAAGCGAGAACAGGTGGGCTAAGGAGAGCTGTCTTGACGCGACGGAATGCTTCATCATGGTCAGCTGTCCAGGTGAATGTTCTCTTGGGGCTCATCAGGGGGCGTAGAGGCTGTGGTGCAGCGGCGATGCCGGAGGTGAACTCAGCCAACTGGTTTACCAGGCCCATGAACGAGCGGAGGTCGGTCAGGTTGGCAGGAGTTGGGAAGTCCCGGATCGCGCTGACCTTTCCAGGATCAGCCGAGATGCCCTTGCCTGAGAGGGTGTACCCACAGAAGTTCACACTAGGTGCGGTGACCACAAACTTATCCTTGTTGAGGGTGATCCTGTACTTGCGGCACCTGGTGAGCATCTGGTGAATACGCTCAAGATGCGTGGAGTAATCCTCGTCATATAAGAGCACGTCGTCGATGACCTTGACACAGTTCGCCACACCCTGAAGGGCCATGTCACCACGGAGACAGAAAGCATCGCCAGTAGCCGCGAAACCCATAGGTCCTCTGCAGTGCTGAAATCGGCCGTACGGTGTGATGAACGTCGTGAGGTGCTGATCTTCTTCCGCAAGTTCCATCTGCCAGTACCCACATAAGGCATCTGCTGTAGTAAAGTATCTTGCCTTCGGGTCCACACTGCGTATAGCGGCGAAGGATGTCGGTGAAGGGTGGGTCGGGCGGGAAACTTGGCTATTCAGCTTGGTGAGGTCGACGGTGATACGAACTCCAGTAATGTTCTTGGCGACTGTTACCATGGGGTGACACCAATCCGAGGGGTCGTCACCAGCAGGCTTAATGATCCCCTGGGCTACCATAAAGTCGAGTTCCTTCTTAACTTGGCTCTGGAAAGCGAAGGGTATCTGTCTCGGTGTGTGGATGGCGAAAGGTACTGCGTCATCCTTCAGGTGAATTCTCATGTGGGAGCCAGCCATTGGCTTGAGTGGAGCCGTCTTGAGGTCCTCCTTTGAAACCAGCATGTCCTTGAATTGCAGTAGGAAGAACTCCCTGGCTGCAGGTGACGTATTGGGTGGGAGGGGCAGCTCCTTGCACCTGTTGACATGTTTTATTTCCAGAATTGGCTTAGGGAAGTCTGAAGATATTATGGCCAACTCTTGACAGTGGCCATAAGACAGTAGTGGCATCTGAACACCTTTGTGGACCTGAATCCTGGCAGAACATGACTGCTTACCTAGGGTGAGGATAGGCTGAAATGTACCCAGAGCAGGTGCCATTGTAAAACCGTCTGCGGTGAGCGTTATAGAAGTTGACGGTGGTTGCAAGCTGCTCCTAGGAATCCGCAGAATGTCGAGGTGTCTTGTGCCGATGACTGTGACGTCCGCACCTGTGTCAGGAAGCATCTGGATACGGGATGTAACGTCGCCGTATGACAGGTGAACACAGATGGGCTGAGGTGTCTTGCTGACAGGGGAAGAAGAGGATCCCACGCGACGACAGCGCTTGTTCTTCGCCGCCTGAGACTTGCAAGTAGTATTATTCTTCTTCTTTGACTGACAGCATTTGTCATAGTGTCCAATGCGGCTACAGGAGCGGCACTGAGCGTTGTTGGCAGGGCACTTCAGTGTCCTAGCCCAATGACCACGACGGCCACAGTTATTGCAGGTGCTGTCAGCGGCAGGGCATTCAGAACCATGCCGACGAGCACAATACTGGCAGGAATGACCTGGCGTCGAAGTCTGAAGTGATGCTGAAGAGTGATGCGAAGCTGAAGTCGGATGTGAAGCTGAAGTCGGATGTGAAGCTGAAGTCAGATGTGAAGCTGAAGTCGGATGTGAAGCTGAAGTCGGATGTGAAGCTGAAGTCGGATGTGAAGCTGAAGTCGGATGTGAAGCTGAAGTCGGATGTGAAGCTGAAGTCGGATGTGAGGCTGAAGTCGGATGTGAAGCTGAAGTCGGATGTGAAGCTGAAGTCGGATGAAAGTCGGATGAGGCTGACGTCGATGAAGCTGAAGTCGGATGAGGCTGAAGTCGGATGTGAAGCTGAAGTCGGATCGGATGAAGCTGAAGTCGGATGTGAAGCTGAAGTCGGATGAAGCTGAAGTCTGAAGTCGGATGAAGCTGAAGTCGGATGAAGCTGAAGTCTGAAGTCGATGTGAGGCTGAAGTCCGGATGTGAAGCTGAAGTCGGACTGAAGTCGGATGCTGAAGTCGGCTGAAGTCGGATGTGAGGCTGAAGTCGGTGTGAAGCTGAAGTCGGATGTGAAGCTGAAGTCGGATGTGAAGCTGAAGTCCGGTCACGTCCTTTGTTCTTCTTATATGCGGAGATGGCACACAGCTGGTTAGATGGAGCACGAATGGCAGAAGTCGCACTTCTGGTGGCTTCGTAAGAGCGGCAGGTGGTGACAACATCCTGTAGAGAAGAGGCAGTGTCGAGGGAGATAAGCTTCTGAATTAGCTCTTCGTCCCGCACGCCCATGAGGATAATCATCTTCAGCTGTGTTTCCTCACAAGTCGACGAGTTCCCAGGACAAACGTCAACCTCCTCAGTGATGCGTCGGAGTCGTACGTAAAAATCGGCAAACGACTCACCCTCCAGCTGCTTACAACTGAGAAGTTCTCTCCTACGGAGAGCTTCGTTGCGGAGGCCCTTGATATGCGTCTGTAAAGCATCCAAGACGTCCTTCACAGTCTTGTCTGTGCCGTGGGGATTTTGCAGGGTGTGCTCCAGGATACGTTGCGTCTCTAGGGTGAGACACATCCTCATCTGGATCAGCTGTTTCTCCCTAGGCAACCTTGATAAATCGACCATCATCGAATAATCGTCCCACCACCGACGCCATTCACGGAATACCTGGAACGAGGCATCAGCTTGGAGTGGCGGTGGACTCTGAGCGAGTGCTTTCTGTGGAGGGGAAAAGAAGTTGAAGAGGGCCCTACAGGTGCACCTGTGGACGAAGAGGCAGGTGTAGTAGCTGCTTGAAGGTTAACAGGTGCCAACAACTCGATAATAGCACTGAACCTGGCATTTTCTTGTTGACGTCTGTGATTCTCTTCACGCCTTCGTTCATCGTCTTCTTGTCGCCTCCTGATGTCGTCTTGTCGTCGGTTTTCTTCCAAAAACTGAATTAAATGAAGGAAGTCGACACCTGTGGCAGATTGCGGACGTGTGTAGTGAGGGCTAAAGGTGGGTGGGGCCGCTTGATCCACTTCCCGATCCACTTGGAGTCCACTTACTGCACCGACATCCGTCTGAAGTAGGGCTTGTTGGGTATCTGAAGAAAACCCAATAAATTCCTGATCTTCCATATGGCCTGGTTTATTTCTCTCACAATTACTGTAATTAATAAGTGAGCAGAAGAGCAATCGTCTTTAAATGGAAGATATCTGCGAGCGTCTGTGTGTGTGTGTGTGTGTGTGTGTGTGTGTGTGTGTGTGTGTGTGCGTTCGTTCGTGCGTGTACTCGGGGCAGCCTGATGGTAGGGTGTGGGCCTGATGGTAGGGTGTGGGCCTGGTGGTGGGGTGTGGGCCTGGTGGTAGGGTGTGGGCCTGGTGGTAGGGTGTGGGCCTGGTGGTGGGGTGTGGGCCAAGTGGTGGTGGAGTGGGGTGTCAGAGTAGGGAGAGAGGTTAGGGTGTGGCGGGAACCAGGGAAGGAGGAGGGCAAGTAAATGTGCCGCTCAGTTGGAGACCAAGAATGAGTGCGCTTCGTGGGCGTGTACGAGGGAGGAGCGAGTAAAATAATGCGAGTAAGTCTGGAGGTATAAAAGGCAAGCGAAACCTTTGGCCAGTCAGTCTTAACCACGCCTTCCTCCTGTGAGCATTTACAACAAGATCCCGGTGTCCAACTTTCCTATATGTGACACCAGTTAATACTTCCATCACCTGTAGACCTATAATAGTTAACCTGCTCGTGGTACTGTGGCTCTGGTGGTCACCCCGATACTGCCACGTCCGGACTCTTGATTGTGTTAAGGCCGCCGAGATGAGGTAGGTACTAGGTCACCAGGATCACACCCACCACATGCGTTGCAGCCAAATGATATGTAAAGGGAACTTAGAGTAAAGATGCTAACTCAAAGGTGTATATTACCAGTATATCCTACCTCAGTAACAATGATGAAATTGGGGTCCATTGGGGCGTCATTAAACAAATTAAGTCACAATGATCACAAACTAATATACGTAAATAAAAACTACTTATAACCAGTACACTAATGTACAAAAATAAACACGACTTATAACCAGTAAACTAATGTACAAAAATAAACACGACTTTTGCCAGTAAACTAATGTACAAAAATAAACACGACTTATAGCCAGTAAACTAATGTACAAAAATAAACACGACTTATAGCCAGTAAACTAATGTACAAAAATAAACACGACTTATAGCCAGGAAACTAAAGTACAAAAATAAACACGACTTATAGCCAGGAAACTAATGTACAAAAATAAACACGACATAAATTTTCTACTAATGTTTGAACTGAAGACGAAACAAAAATTGAAAAAAGAAGACTACAGTCAATCATAGCATTCACCAGGTCGCTTGGTTAAACCAGGAAACACGAGCTATCGGCATAAAGTAACTGGATATCTTAATTAACGTCTGTGTCTTAGATAACAACAATGATATTCTCCCTGCAACAACTTAATTCACTGTATTATAGAATTTGATATAAGAAACTATTCTCTCATATAAAGATATAGTCAGATATTATGTGATGGCAACACAAGGCGGAGTTTTTCACGTGTTGAGGTGTGTTGCTGTAGAAATGTGTTGTGTGTTGAGGTGTGCTGCTGTAGAAATGTGTTGTGTGTTGAGGTGTGTTGCTGTAGAAATGTGTTGTGTGTTGAGGTGTGTTGCTGTAGAAATGTGTGATATGTTGAGGTGTGTTGCTGTAGAAATGTGTTGTGTGTTGAGGTGTGTTGCTGTAGAAATGTGTTATATGTTGAGGTGTGTTGTTGTAGAAATGTGTTGTGTGTTGAGGTGTGTTGCTGTAGAAATGTGTTGTGTGTTGAGGTGTGTTGCTATAGAAATGTGTTGTGTGTTGAGGTGTGCTGCTGTAGAAATGTGTTGTGTGTTGAGGTGTGTTGCGTAGAAATGTGTTATATGTTGAGTAGTGTGTTGCTGTAGAAATGTGTTAGGTGTGTTGTTGTAGAAATGTGTTGTGTGTTGAGGTGTGTTGCTGTAGAAATGTGTTATATGTTGAGGTGTGTTGCTGGTGTGTTGCTGTGCAGAAATGTGTTGTGTTGGGGTGTGTTGCTGTAGAAATGTTGTGTTGAGGTGTGTTGCTGTAGAAATGTGTTGTGTTGAGGTGTGTTGCTGTAGAATGTTTGTGTGTGTGTTGCAGAAATGTGTTGTGTGTTGAGGTGTGTTGCTGTAGAAATGTGTTGTGTTGAGGTGTGTTGCTGTAGAAATGTGTTGTGTTGAGGTGTGTTGCTGTTGTTGAGGTGTGTTGCTGTAGAAATGTGTTGTGTTGAGGTGTGTTGTGTAGAAACGTGTTATATGTTGAGGTGTGTTGTAGAAATGTGTTGTGTGTTGAGGTGTGTTGCTGTAGAAATGTGTTGTGTGTTGAGGTGTGTTGCTGTAGAAATGTGTTGTGTGTTGAGGTGTGTTGCTGTAGAAATGTTGTGTGTTGAGGTGTGCTGCTGTAGAAATGTGTTGTGTTGAGGTGTGTTGCTGTAGAAATGTGTTATATGTTGAGGTGTGTTGCTGTAGAAATGTGTTGTGTTGAGGTGTGCTGCTGTAGAAATGTGTTGTGTGTTGAGGTGTGTTGCTGTAGAAATATTTCGAAGTATTTTGCTCTATTTTGGCTCCATTAATTATACTTTTTTTTGTCTGATCAAGAATTAAAAAAAACAAAAAAAAAACACTATCATTATGGTTCCAGCGCCAGGCCAACATCCACCTATTGTCCTCTGATCAAACCTACCAAGAGTAGTTAGGATTGTCTTAATTACCAATATGCGGGAATTTAATTATTATGATAAATTTAATAAATAAAAGGATCACTTGAAGAATTTGGATCATCAGTTTATTTCGCCAAAAGATTAACTAAACTTATACGAATTGTAACAATTATATAGAGATGTAATTCCGTTATATGAGGGTCCGTTATATATGAAACCCTCCACCTAACTGATTATATTGAGCTAGAAGTCCGTCATATGAAGGCTTACACAACAAAACTAAAAAAAACGACTAAGCTTCAGTATTCACGACCATGATTCAAAAAATTCGTACACGATGTATAAAATAAATTCCTTGACTCTCATGACTAATAAGACCCTGACCCACAATTGGATCCAAGTAACAAAATAAACATTGTCACACTAAGATCGTTTCCGTATAACAGATAAAAGATAAACTGAAAAAACTCAAGGTGGAATGATTATTATCTTTAGGGAATGGTTCTCTGGCGTGTTGAGGAATGGTTCTCTGGCGTATTGAGGAATGGTTCTCTAGCGTGTTGAGGAATGGTTCTCTGGCGTGTTGAGGAATGGTTCTCTGGCGTGTTGGGGAATGGTTCTCTGGCGTGTTGAGGAATGGTTCTCTGGAGTGTTGAGGAATGGTTCTCTGGCGTGTTGAGGAATGCTTTCTGGCGTGTTGGGGAATGGTTCTCTGGCGTGTTGAGGAATGGTTTTCTGGCGTGTTGGGGAATGGTTCTCTGGCGTGTTGAGGAATGGTTCTCTGGAGTGTTGGGGAATGGTTCTCTGGAGTGTTGGGGAATGGTTCTCTGGAGTGTTGAGGAATGGTTCTCTGGCGTGTTGAGGAATGGTTCTCTGGCGTGTTGAGGAATGGTTCTCTGGAGTGTTGAGGAATGGTTCTCTGGAGTGTTGGGGAATGGTTCTCTGGAGTGTTGGGGAATGGTTCTCTGGAGTGTTGAGGAATGGTTCTCTGGCGTGTTGAGGAATGGTTCTCTGGCGTGCGTATATCTCTCTCAATGGCTGCTAACTACTACCTAGGAGAGGAACCGCTATTCATGATGGTAAAAGTGTTAGACAGGTCGAGGCTGTGATGTTCGGGTCGTAGAAACCAGTTGTCGGGAGCTTGATTTCCTGACGAGGTGGAAGAGGTGGAAGATAGGGCAGATAAGAAGAAGGAGGAAGCTAAGGAGGACGAAGACGAGGAGAAAGAGGAATGAAGACGGCGAGGAGGAAGCCAAGGAGGAAGATGGAGATAAGGAAGATAAGCAGGAGGCCTAATAAAGAGGACGAAGAAGAAACCAAGGAGGAGGAGGAGGAGGAAGCCAAGGAAGAAGGAGGAGCAAGAGACGGAGAAAGCCAAGGAAGAAAGAACAGGAGGAAGAAGAGGAGGAGGGCCATCCCCCTGGACTCCCCGCCCACCTGGTACGATGTCCTCCGTAAACTTCCTGACCCCTCGTACGTCTATGGGAAAGGGTCGCGGAAAGTGGACGTGATTGCTGCCCGTATCATCATTGGGTATGACTTTGCTTGGGAGATTGGTATCCCCTCATCCCCTGAGCAACGCTCTTGTGCATTATGCAGAAGACCCGACAGCCGCACCCTTATCCACTACCTCCTAAGATGTCCCCACACACAACGCTTCCGTGACGCCTGCTGGACCACCACTCCACGACCCCCTGACGGAGACACGATGATCCTCCCCATACTGGCCAGATACTATGTAAATAACATTGATTATGTGTTAAAGGAATATCTTTCCTTCCTTAAGCTTTAGTAAGCCCCTTTATAATATTCATACTGTATTTACTTGTGACACTTGCCAGATGCTTCTGGTGTTATTGTACAGGGGTAACTAGTGATAGCACTAGGATCCCGCTTCCTCTATCAAGGAATAAACAATTGAAATTGAAAAAGTGAATTGAGGAGGAGGGAGGAGAGGAGGTAAACATGCTTGCATGTGGCAACCTTTCTCAACCAGAAGTAGTACAGACTAGAACCTGCCTGACACTTTCACTCTCAACCTTGACTGAGGTACAGAGAGAGAGAGAGAGAAAGAGAGTATCGTCATCACCCTTGGTCTCTTGTCCCCTTCAGTATAAAGCTAGAACCGGAACAAGAGTGACGGAGGCGGGGTTGAGGTGAGGTGAGGTGAAGACGTGACCTCCACCCATGCACCGAGAGGAGGTAGAGGCCGGTGTGAAGTATACTGTGAACACTCTCCAACTCCTCAGGTACAGTATGTTATCAACTCAAACAGCAGAGAGACAGAGAGTGAGGAAGTTTGTGCTCAGTTGTGATAAATATAAGTGCCAGAACAATTTTGTTTTACGTGTAAAGTATAAGTGCCAGAACTATTTTGTTTTACGTGTAAAGTATAAGTGCCAGAACTACTGTATTTTGTTTTACATAAGAACATAAGAAAATAAGGAGTCTGCAATAGGCCGGTTGGCCTGTGCATGGCAGCTCCTGTCGAGAGTTACTACCACTCTCTATCATCCATGAATCTATCTAGCCTCCTTTTGAAACTTTCCAGAGTTCCCGCATTTACTACATAGTTGCTAAGCTTGTTCCACTCGTCCACCACCCTATTTGTGAACCAGTTTCTTCCTATCTCCCTCCTAAACCTAAACTTATCCAACTTGAATCCGTTGCTCCGAGTCCTATCCTGCTCGGATAGTATAAGAACTTTATCTATATCCCCTTTATTGATTCCTTTCACCCACTTAAATACTTCTATCACATCTCCCCGCACTCTTCGTCTTTCTAGGGAATGCAAGTTAAGTTTCTTTAACCTATCCTGATATGGAAGGTTTCTAAGTCCCGGAATCATTTTTGTCATTCTTCGCTGCACCGACTCTAGTGAATTTATATCCATTCTATAATAGGGGCACCACAACTGAACCGCATAATCGAGGTGCGACCTGACTAGCGCAAGATATAGTTGCAATAAGACCTCTGCACTCTTGTTACTTACACTTCTAGATATAAAACCCAATACTCTGTTTGCCTTATTTCGAACATTAACGCACTGTTTTCTAGGCCGTAGGTCCGGGCTT